ATGGCAATGAGGAGGCGACATAACACCTCTACACCACCTGTCAAACACCTTCTAAAAAGCAGTCTACCGCAGATTGCTCTTTAGAGGGTGCCATATGTATAACAAGCCTTAGGAAAATACTATTTTGCTAACTAATTTGACGTGACTTTTCCCTTATGCAGGAAATGTAAACAGTAGAGCATTGCATACAAATGTGTGTGTATATATATGTGTGTGTATATATATATATATATATATATATATACACACATACATATATACACACATACATATATACACACATACAGTATCTCCCAGAAATGAGTCCACCCCTCACATTTTTGTAAATATTTGATTCTATCTTTTCATGTGACAACACTAAAGAAATGACACTTTGCTACAATGTGCCGTAGTGAGTGTACAGCTTGTATAACAGCATAATATTGCTGTCCCCTCAAAATAACTCAACACACAGCCATTAATGTCTAAACTGCTGGCAGCAAATGTGAGTACACCCCTAAGTGAAAATGTCCATATTGGGCCCAATTAGCCATTTTCCCTCCCAGGTGTCATGTGACTCGTTAGTGTTACAAGGTCTCAGGTGTGAATGGGGAGCAGGTGTGTTAAATTTGGTGTTATCGCTCTCACTCTCTCATACTGGTCACTGGAAGTTCAACATGGCACCTTATGGCAAAGAACTCTCTGAGGATCTGAAAAAAAGAATTGTTGCTCTACATAAAGATGGCCTAGGCTATAAGATGATTGCCAAGACCCTGAAACTGAGCTGCAGCACGGTGGCCCACCTCAGTGGTTTAACAGGACAGGTTCCACTCAGAACAGGTCTCACCATGGTCAACCGAAGAAGTTGAGTGCACATGCTCAGTGTCATATCCAGAGGTTGTCTTTGGGAAATAGACGTATGAGTGCTGCCAGCATTGCTGCAGAGGTTGAAGGGGTGGAGGGGTCAGCCTGTCAGTGCTCAGACTATACGCCGAACACTGCATCAAATTGGTCTGCATGGCTGTCGTCCCAGAAGGAAGCCTCTTCTAAAGATGATGCACAAGAAAGCCTACAAACAGTTTGCTGAAGACAAGCAGACTAAGGACATGGATTACTGGAACCATGTCATGTGGTCTGATTTTATTTATTTATTTCAGGTACTTATATAGCGTCGTTAATTTACACAGCGCTTTACATACATTGTACATTCACATCAGTCCCTAACCCTCAAGGAGCGTACAATCTAAGGTCCCTAACTCACATCCATACATACACATATTAGGGCCAATTTAGACAGGAGCCAATTAACCTACCAGCATGTCTTTGGAGAGTGGGAGGAAACCAGAGTACCCGGGGAAAACCCCTCGCAGGCACAGGGAGAACATGCAAACTCCAGGCAGGTGGTGCCGTGGTCGGGATTTGAACCAGCGACCCTAGTACTGCCAGGCGGAAGTGCCAACCATTTAGCCACTGTGCTGCCCCTTTTTGGTTCAGATGGTGTTAAGCATATGTGGTGGCAACCAGGTGAGGAGTACAAAGACAAGTGTGTCTTGCCTACAGTCAAGCATGGTGGTGGGAGTGTCATGGTCTGGGACTGCATGATTGCTGCTGGCACTGGGAAGCTACAGTTCATTGAGGGAACCATGAATGCCAATACTGTGACATACTGAAGCAGAGCATGATCCCCTCCCTTTGGAGACTGGGCCGCAGGGCAGTATTCCAACATGATAACGACCCCAAACACACCTCCAAGATGACCACTGCCTTGCTAAAGAAACTGAGGGTAAAGGTGATGGACTGGCCAAGCATGTCTCCAGACCTAGCCCCAATAGAGCATCTATGGGCATCCTCAAATGTAAGGTGGAGGAGCGCAAGATCTCTAACATTCATGAGCTCCGTGATGTCATCATGGAGGAGTGGAAGAGGACTCCAGTGGCAACCTGTGAAGCTCTGGTGAACTCCATGCCCAAGAGGGTTAAGGCAGTGCTGGAAAATAATGGTGGCCACACAAAATAATTGACATCTTGGGCCCAATTTGGACATTTTCACTTAGGGGTGTACTCACTTTTGTTGCCAGCGATTTAGACATTAATGGCTGTGTTGAGTTATTTTGAGGGGACAGAAAATTTACACTGTTATACAAGCTGTACACTCACTACGTCACATTGTAGCAAAGTGTCATTTTTTCAGTGTTGTCACATGAAAAGATAGAAGAATAAAATATTTCCAAAAATGTGAGGGGTGTACTCACTTCTGTGAGATACTGTATATGCATACACATAAAGTCATATGAAAAAATAAGTACACCCCACAGAGAAATAGTTGATTTTTGCAACCAGCAATTGTTGATTTTCTTGAACAGGAATTTTATTCAAACAGTGCATACAGATAAAGGTGATTTACCTGAATAAGAACGCAATAACATTGTGCCTTTTCAGTCATTTATTGAACAAAAATTTAATTCAATAAAATAGTGTACTGTGAAAAAAATGAAGTACATCCTTGGCATCAAAAACTGGCATTGCTCCCTGTAGCAGAAATTACTTCCTGTAGGCAGTTTGTATAACTGCCCATCAGTCTCCTGAAATTTTCCATAATGCAAACTTTCTTCAGTTGCAAGACATTTGTGGGTTTCCTTGCATGAACCAAAACCTCCCTCCATAATTTCAATGGGAATCAATACAGAGTTATGACTGGGGAAGTTTCTTCTTTTTGAGCCAACCCCTGATGGATTTGCTAGTGTGCTTTGGATCAATATGGTGTTCAGACTTATTTCCATTTTTGGACAGCTGGCTTCACATTCTTATCAAGCACACTTTGATAAAATGTAGAATGTATAGTTGACTTCATGACTTCAGGCTTCCTAGATCCTGAAACAGTAAAGCAACCCTAAAACATAACATTTTCATCAGCATGCATCACAGTTGGTATGAGGTTCTTCTCCTGAAATACTGTCTTTGGTTTGTAACAAACATGTATACTGTTACTGTAACGAGATAATTCTCTTTGATTGATCAATCTTCAATGCAATGTTCCAGTAGGCTTTGTCTTTCCCTATGAGCCCAATGGCAGACTGTAATCTTGGTCAAATGTTCCTTGTGGACAGCTTTGCTGAAAAAATTATCATGCAGATTGTTTTGGAACAATCTCTTTCTGATTATAGATGCATGCACTTTGACCCCAACTGTTACGGGAATTATCTGAATACTCAGGGGCCTTTTGAACATTTCTTTTAGCATCAAATGGTCAGCTCTTGGGTTGAATTTGCTGGACCAGCCAGGCCTGAACAAATTAGCAGTTGTTTGAAATCATTTGTAGGTTATTTTCCTTACAGTGGAATGATTTGTTTCTTTATAAATCCCCTGCAAGACTAATAGGCATCCATATCCTCCTTTCTGAGGGCCTTGGAGAGCTATAATGACCATAACATGATGAAAAAAAACACGTGTCCATAGCAAAGAGAACACCAGATTCTAAATGTCTGAGGTTTAAATAAGACATCTTCTACCTGCTTACTCCCTAAGGAAGTTCTAATCATTGGCATCTAATATGGAACAGCAGATTATAATTACATGGATTTAAATGTGTTATATGAAAAGGTTTACTTACTATTCCATATGAATTATTTGCATCTTTGTTCATTTAGATCATGAAAACGAATACATCATGTCAATTTTATGGGTCATTTGTTCAAGTATACAACTTTTTTCTATAAGCACGATTTGGATCAAAATCTAATGTTTGCCTTGTTAAATGCACTATACTGCCAAAAGTATTGGGACGCCTGCCTTTATATGCACATGACCTTTATGGCATCCCAGTTTTAGTCTGTAGGGTTCAATATTGAGTTGGCCCACCTTTGCAGCTATAACAGCTTCAACTCTTCTTCTGGGAAGGCTGTCCACAAGGTTTAGGAGTGTGTCTATGGGAATGTTTGACCATTCTTCCAGAAGCGCATTTGTGAGGTCAGGCACTGATGTCGGACAAGAAGGCCTGGCTCACAATCTCCGCTCTAATTCATCCCAAACATGTTCTACTGGGTTGAGGTCAGGACTATGTGCAGGCCAGTCAAGTTCCCTCCACCCCAAACTTGCTCATCCATGTCTTTATGGACCTTGCTTTATGCACTGGTGCGCAGTCATGTTAGAACAGGAAGGGGCCATCCCCAAACTGTTCCCACAAAGTTGGGAGCATGAAATTGTCCAAAATGTCTTGGTATGATGACACCTTATGAGTTCCCTTCACTGGAACTAAGGGGCCAAGCTCAATCCCTGAAAAACAAATCCACACCATAACCCCCACCCCCCCCACCAAACTTTATACTTGGCACAATGCAGTCAGGCAAGTACCGTTCTCCTGCAACTGCCAAACCCAGACAAGTCCAGTGGATTTTAGTGTTATGGCAGCTCCAAGCTGTTTTCACACACATAGGTCAGGTTATAAAAGCCTGTGGAGAGCCAAGAATAAAAATGAGGTTTGGCTACCAGGTCAGAGAAGGACCTAGGAATGGAGAATTTTTCCCTCCAACAGCTCTACAAAGTCTCCTGGCTCCGTGGCCCAGAACAGAACTTATTAAGATTTAAGTGGTTCTAAAAGATTGTAATAAAAAAAAAAAAAAAAAACACAATAAACATGTCATACTTACATGCTCTGTGCAATGGTTTTGTACAAAGCAACCCGGATCCACTTCTTTTTGGATCCCCTGCTGGCAGTCCTGGCTTCTCTCCCCTGCCAAGTACTCCCGGTGCACCTCTTGCGCCATGCTCCTGTGAACGGACATTGCCAATTCACACACAGAGTGTGACTCTTGCTCTCTACTCATTGGTTCACTGTCTGTAAATGACATCAAAAGGAGCCAATGGCCCCTGCTGCTGTGTGAGCCAAAAAAGAGAGAGAGAGAGACAGGGAGAGCTTCGGCTGTCATGCACATTGCTGTCCCGAGATGGGGCTCGGGTAAGTATAAGGGGGCAAGCTGCACACAGAAGGCTTTTTAAAAAAACATTCTGACTTTAGAACCACTTTAACCCCTTGACACCGCCGTCAAACAAATATGCGGCCTCACGGAAATGGGCTTTTTTTCTCTGGGGCCGCATATTTGCATACCTGTCTTTGTGCTGGGAGCGTGCCGCACTGCATGCTCCCAGCACAAAGACCGCAGTGTCACTGGGAGCCCCGGGACCTGTCTAATGATCGGGACCTGGGACTCCCGATTTGGGGTCACATGATCGCTGTGATAGTCTCTGATTGGCTATCACAGTGATCAGTCACTGTGCAGCCCAGCCCCCTTGTTTTTTTTCTCTCTCTATGAATGGAGAAGAGAGATACATTGTATCTCTATAACTCCAGGCATAGAGAGAAAATAAAATGCTTGTAAAAACAAAACAAAAAAAAGATAAAAAATAAAATAAATATTAAAAAATAAAAGAAAAAACTAAAGAAAAAATACCTAGATCAAGGTTTGATCTAGTTCAGTGCCAGGGTTATTGTTTGGGTCAAGGTCAAAGGTTACGGTCAAAAGGTCAGGGTCAAAGGTCAGGGTTTAAAAAAAATTTGGTATCAGTGTCAGTTATTGTCAATGTCAGTGTGTTTTAGGGAAAAAAAAAAGAAAAGACAAAAACAAAATGCGCACTATTGTTTCTGGGCTGTACTACGGGTACAAACAACAAATAACATACACATATATGGTATCGCTGTGATCGTCAAGAGCTGGAGAATTTATTTTGGGTTGTTCTTTGGTGGTAGGTTATGGTAGTAACAAGAAACACACAGCTAAATAAAATTTTTTTTTTACTATTTTGGGCCAGTTTTCCTTTGATAATAAAAAAAAAAATCAGGAGATATCCATTCCCATTTACCACCAACTGAAAGCCCAATTTGACCTGAAAAAAACGCGGTATAATTCACATGGATGTACAAAGTAGTTGTGATGATATGTACGGTTTTACTAACACATGTCAACATTGCAAAATTGTGCTTAGGCATTTAGATTTTGTTTTACCTTTAGGCGTGAAGGGGTTAAGCTTTATTAGCCAATATTAACCATTGTTCCAATGTCTGTGGGATATCTGTTTAGTTTGGTGTTTATCACACATCAGCTATCTACATTATCTGCATATAGCACAAGATGTTTAAGGCAAAGCAGTGTAACAAAGCCCTACTGCTACAAAAATAGAAGGTTACTGCGCCTTTAAATTTTAAAGAGAGAGTTTGGTCAGGAAAACAAGTAGCAGGTGACCTGGGAGAAAATTCCAGAAGGTCACATGACTAGTGGAAAGTTCTAGAACAGCAAGCTCCCCCCCCCTCCCCTTTTTTGTCACAAGGCACGTTATGTGGTATTGTCACCCTTTACATTTAAAGGGGGGACTGTTATTATGTTTATTTAGTTTGCGCTCGAGTCCTTAACGGCTGAGCTATTTGATTGTTATTTGATAAGAGAAGTATAAACTTGATTATTAATTATTTAAAGTATTTGTTATTGTTTATTTATTTAAATCAAAAAAGTGCTGCGGCTAAAATTTTGCCATTAAATATTGTGTGTGTATTTATTTAGATAGTTATATATTTGGTATTCAGGAGAGTGAGAAAAGGCGCGGTCTGCATTCCCATGATATCCTGTAGGCATTTTGTATACTACCCATAAGTCTCATGACATTTTTGACCACTTCACCGTGAAAATGTCTTTAGTTGCAAGACATTTAAGGTTTTCCTTGCATGAGGCACCTATTTCAAAATCCCCCTACATAATTTCAATGGGAATCAATGCAGGGCTTTGGCTAGGACAGTTTCTTCTTTTTCAGCCAAAAACTAATGGATTTTCTAGTGTGCTTCAGGATCATTAACGAGTTGAAAGACTAATTTCCAGTTCAACTTCAACCCTTTGGACTGGTGGACTTACATTCTCATCAAGCATACTTTGATACAGAATGTATAGTTACATTGATGACTGCGAGCTTCAAAAAATCTTGAAGCAGCAAAGCAACCCCAAAGCATAACATTTCCACTACCCTGCATCATAGTATGAGGTTGCTCTTCTGAAATATTATCTTTTTTTGCAGCATACATGTATACTATTACTGCGACTAGAAAACTCTTTGATTAACCAGTCTTCAGTGCATTGTTCCAGTGACCTGGTCTTTGACCGTGAGTCCAATGGCAATCTCTAATCTTGCTGAAATGTTCTTTGAGGACAGCAAAGGAATTGCCTTTGCACACCTCTCATGCAGGTTGATCAGGCATCATCTCTTTCTGATTTTAGATGTGTGCACTTTGACCCCAACTGTTGCAAGAATTACCTGAAAACTCTTGGGCTCTTGGTTCTTTTAGCATCAAACGACCAGCTCTTGGGTTAAATCTGCTGGGCCAGCCAGTCTACGACAAATTAACATTTGTTTGAAATCTAATCATTTGTAGATTATTTTCCCTACAGTGGAATGATTGACTTCTTTATAAATCCCCTGCCAGACTAATAGGCATCCACAACCTTCTTTCTGAGGGTCTTGGACAGCTTTATTGATCTTGGCATGATGAAAACACACATACCAATGGCAAAGAGACCCTAGATGTCTGAGGTTTAAGTAAGACAAGTTCCACATTATCACGTTCTAATTACTGGCATCTAATCTGGAACAGCAGATGCAAATGACATGGATTTAAATGTGTTATTTGAAGGGGTGCACTTACTTTTTTCCATATGACTAATCTGCATTTTTATTAACTTAGATACCCCATGTAAATTTTCACTTGTTCTCCTTTATCTGTAGGCACTATTTGAATCAAGATCTAAAGTTCAAATATGTTGAAAAAGTCTATAACTGTCTGGTGGGACTGTCCCTATACAAGGACTTTATGGCAACATATTTTTGATTTATATTGTAAACTGATGGCAACTTTTATTCAAGTCTCCCCTGAAGTAGCCCTTCTGTTGATGCTTCCTGGACCTTTTAAATCCCTGAAAAAAAGATGTTCTTTGATACTTCTTGTCCACCGCTAGGGAAGTCATTCCCGTCACTTGAAATCTACCACCATACCTTCTCTTGGGGAGTGGGCCACGGAGGTAGAGTCTATAAGTGACCTAAAGGGGAGGAAAGGAAGAACAGTTCTCACAAACCTGGTCATCATGGTCTGTGTTCTGCTACTCATCTGAGTTTTTAACTTGGGCCAAGAGAGATACATCTTCCATCTCTCACGAGCCATGACAGAGTTAATATGCTTTCTCTCTTTGTCAACCTGGTCTACTCCCTCTCCAGCACTCTCGCTGTGCTCTACGTTTCTCTGCATTTGATTCCTTTCTTTTACCTTACAGCATACACATAATTTTCTTATTCTGAATACTTGAAGATTTGAAAGCTTTTTTTTTAATGGAACTTTACCTTAATATTACGACCAACAACGATTTCAAAGATGATACTCTATACCCTTTGTTTTGTTCCTAATCTTTGGGTTTACTTTGTATACCTGAAGATTTATATATGAGATTATTCTGTTTTGTACCATCTTTTTTACTGGCTGTGTGTTCGCATTCACATATTTGCTACAATAAAATCAAATTGAACAAAAAAGTCTGTTACTGACAGTGGTAAACCATGCACGAGACAGGGACACCCTGGAACGGTCCGAGCTGGTTTTCCCAGCACTTTTATTCTGCAAGGTAACAAACTCTGTTTTCAATGCAGTATGGTTTTGTACAGCAAGTCCATACCATAAAGCAAATAAACATCTGCTCATCAAAGCCACTAACTAAACTCCGGTCATTTCATGACTAACAGGATGCCCCCTAATGGGTTCGCAAAACAAACAAAGCAGCACTCAACCTTTTCACACAGCAGCAGGCTTCCACAGCAGAGGCGGCAAGAAAGAGAGAGAACTGCAGTGCTGAAGATTACTCCACCTGCACCCGAAGGTCATTAGCGTCTGGGCCATGACGCTGAGCGGGCCGCACATTTGGTGCAATTAAGAAAAACATATGTGCTGAGAGCACGCCCTGCGCGGACCCAGCACACATGTCCGATACTCACGGAAAGGTTCCGATCTCCTCTTTCGATCGGGACCTTTCCTGATCATGTGACCGCCGTGACAGCAAATCACGGCAGTCACATGACCCTAAAACCCTGCCCCGCCTCCCGGCTTCTGAAACCCTTAAAGGGACGGGAGGCACCGGCGCCAAGGGTTTAAACAGTTCTCTTTCTGAAGGTTTTTTTTTCTAAATTTGCTGCAGACTGCAAGTTTACATTTCTAGAAGTGCCCAGAAGTAGGGAGTTCCCTCTCTGCCTCCCTGTCACTGCAGGGTTCCCAGCACCACATGTCAGAGCCTGCAGGTGAGTGCAAGTTGATTATGTTGCAATTTCAACTGGGGCGATCGCTGCTGCTATTGGATTAGTGTACACGTTTCAGAGGCGTTTGAGGAAGTGTCATATTGCTTCCTTACTGCCTGATTTAATGCCCCTAAAAACCTGCACCACCATGCTGCAACTGTGTGCACTGTACACAGTTGAGGAGCGGCCCCATTCGGTGGAATGGGTAGCGTTCACTGACTGAATGTGACCAGGGAATAATTTTTACCATGCTGCAATGTAAATCTTTGTGGCCACAGCACGTGTACACAACCATCCACTGCCACTGCCTATGCAGTTTTTGCCCCATGCACTTTGCATTACCCCCCCCCCCCCCCGTAATGGCCCTTACACACGATAAGAAAATTGTAGTACAGTAATCAAATGGAAATAATTGAATAGAAAAAAACACACATGATCAGAAGCATAGAATGACTCTACACTTCCTCTTCTGCTGCGCTAGTGTGTAGGTACGTTTGCCTTTGTCGGCTAAGAATTTTCTTACAAGTCAATACCATTCTGACTACAATATAAAAATCCCAATAAGTGTATAGTTTGGTTTGTGTGAAAGTTACATAGTCTATGGTATATACTGTATTTGAAAATTGATCAATCCTGATGGACTGATGGCCTATATCATTTCTGGAGGCCTTAAAATGCCAGTACAGTACAAATACCCCCAAATGACTTTTTGGATAGTCCAAGGCATTTAGTAAAAGGTATGGTGAGTTTAAGTAAAATTTTTTGTTCCATTTTTTGGAAAATGAAGAAATTAAATTACATTTATGTTCTTTTTCGCACTTTTTTTTTTTTTTTTTTTTACATACTGTCACCAGTGCATTACAGCATCATCACTGGGTTTATTATTTTTTATTATATACAGGCGTACATCAGTTTACGAATTTAAGTCGTTCCATGGGACTTTTCGCATTGTGAAAAATTTGTAAACTGGAACGCGGTTTCCCATAGGAATGCTTTGAAAACCAATTAATCCGTTCCGAAGGTCAGAAAAAAGTTATAAAAAAGTATTTTATCTGTTCAAAACTCTTTATAAAGTGCACTTTAAAAATATAAATGCTGTACTTGAACATGTTAAAAATGAATTCGTAAATGCACTGAAAACCAATTAATCCATTCGTGTTGCGAAAAAAATTCGTAAATGCATTGAAAACCAATAAATCCGTTCCGGAGGTCAGAAAAAAGTCTTATCTGTTCAAAACTCTTTATAAAGTGCATTTTAAAGGCATAGCACTGTACAGGACATGATTAAAAAAAAAATCACAAATGCATTGAAGACCAATTAATCCATTTGTATTGCAAAAAAAATTTGTAAACCAAGCCATTATTTTCAATGGATTTTCATTCATGAACCAAAAATTACGTTAACCGAGGCGTTCGTAAACCGAAGTACGCCTGTATGTCCCAGTAAGTGTATATTAAAGTGATATAAAAACTCCTTTTTTTATTTTTACCTTCAGGTAAGTTTATCATAACGCTTACCTGTAGGTAAAATTACGTTAAACGTACACCGTTTAGGAGATATTTTAATGTCATCCGCGTGTGCCGCAGCCAAGACTCACGCGCACACGTGCAAGAGTGCCGCAATTGCGGTTCGGCCAGTCAAGTGGCCGAATCTTGCAACCCCGGAAGGAATGCCAGGTGAAGATGGAAGCCTCCTCAGCGCACTACTGGAGGGCTTCATTTAAAAGTCTTTCATAATGTGCTAGTATATTATAGTTATATAGTTAATCCGTTTGAAAAAGACAAAAATCCATCTAGTTCAACCATAGAAAAAAATTTTTAATCCTATACCCACAGTTGATCCAGAGGAAGGCAAAAAATCCAGCAAATCATGAACCAATTTGCTCATTGTCGTTCAGGGAAAGTTTTTCTTTTTTTTCCTCAAATTTACTACTGCTTTAATTGGTTTGTGTGAAAGTTATAGCGTCTCCAAACTATGGTATATATACTGGAATTTACGCAGCTATGACGCTATACTGTTAATGGCAGTGATCAGCTTCTTATAGTGGGATGGTGATAGTGTGGTGTACAATCTGGCGCTAGCAGACACTGCCTGGGAGGGACACTAACATCAATAGTAACATTAATACAGTAATCAGCGCTAATACTGTGCACTGTACTAATGACACTGGCTGGGAAGGGGTTAACATCTAGGTGTATTAAAGGGTTAACTGTATGCCTAACAATGTGTAATATGTGCTGCTTTTACTAATGTACGCGATTCAGCATAGCTGAATCAGAGGATGGTTTGGAAGCAAGAAAAATTGCAGGCACTATGGAACAATTCTTCCATAACAGAAGCAGCAAAGTCCTTCAAGTCTCCACCCTGCACTTTTCTTCTCCCCCCTCTTCCACCTCTGTTTACAGAGATTAGAAGGCTGGCAGTTTGCTAAATCAATGATGGCAGGAAGTAGCTGAGCTACACAGAGAAAGGGAAAATAAAACTGAGAAGCTTCAGCTACACATGTTGAGAATCAATCTGAGTTTAGTCCCATTACTACAGCTTGAATGCCATTACTTACCTGTAATAAAGGATGGCATGTGTTGTGCAGGGATCTGAATCCTGATGACATCTTCACTACAGCAATGTCTTCCTATCCCCTTCCTGTCTCTGAACTTCTGAACTGTAAAGGTTAGCAGCTTCAGGTCTACAGGCAGAATATCAGGATATGATCCAGTTGGATATGCCCCCTTCATCCTCCTCCATTCAGGAAACTTCTTTCAATAATTATACTGCCTGTAACATGATCTGTGAATGGGGAAGAGTCTTATCAGTCAGGGATTCTCTCCCCATTCACAGAGCATGTCAAAAGCAGTGTAATCAATAAAAAAAAACTGTTGATGTGTTGAAAAAATGCTTTCAAAACACGTTTCTGGATACATACAAATAATGGAAAACCAGAAGAAAGAGTTTTGTTATTTATGTTTTCTTTGTAGAAGACACTGACAAAAATATTTTAGTATAATTCTGAAATGTTGACCTTGCTAACAATTATCATCTTTTGTAGATGAAATGCTCTAGCCCCGGATTACGCTGCTGCAACTTATCACGCGACTTGCAACACATAAAGTCGCATGACAAGTCAAAACAGATTCATTTCAATGGGTCTTAACAGTGAAAAATGTTCTTGCATAATTTTTCTGCAACTTTGGTGCAACTTTAATGCCATAGACAACAATGTTAAATCACAAAAGTCGAAAGAAAGTCACAAGCAAGTCCCACAACTTTGGGGTCGCAGCAATTTGAACGGAGCCTTAGGCCCCATGTACACGGGACATTTCTGAATAATGGAAACTGACTGCTGGAAAACATAGGTTAGAAAATGTCTGGAGAGAGGGGGGAAGAGAGAGGAGACAGGGGGGAAGAGAGAGAGAGAGAGAGAAAGAGAGAGAGGAGGAGAGAGAGAGAAAGAAAAGAGGAGAGAGAGAGAGAGAAAGAAAAGAGGAGAGAGAGGGAAGAGAGGAAAGGGGGGGAGCAGAGATAGAGCAGAGAGAGAGGGGGGGGGGAGAGAGGAGAGGGAGAGGGGGAGGGGGGAAGAGAGGGGGGAAAAGAGGGGAGGGGGGGGAGAGAGAGGGGGAGAGGGGGAAAGAGAGGGGGGAGGGGGGGGGGGAAAGAGAGGGGGGAGAGGGGGAGGGGAAAGAGAGGGGGGGAGGGGAAAGAGAGGGGGGAGAGGGGAAAGAGAGGGGGAGGAGGAGAGAGGGGGGGGGGAAGAGAGGGAGGGAGAGAGGGGGGAGAAAGAGAGGGGGCAGAGAGAGAGGGGGGGGGAAGAGAGAGGGCAGAGAGTGGGGAGGAGAGACAGAGGGGCAGAGAGAGGGAAGAGGAGAAATAGAGAGAGGGGAGAGGAAGAGTGAGAGGGAAGAGGGGAGGGAGAGGAGGAAGAGAGAGGGGAAGAGGGGCGGGAGAGAGGAGAGAGGGGGGGAGAGGGAGAGAGAGGAAGAGGGAAGAGGAGAGATAGGAAGAGAGAGGGAAGGAGGAGAGAGAGGAAGAGAGAGGGGAAGAGGGAGAGAGGGAAGGGAGAGAGAGGAGGGGGGGGGGAGGAGAGATAGGAAGGGAGAGGGGGAGGGGGGGAAGTGGAGAGAGGAAGAGAAAGAGTGGGGAGAGGGGGGGGGGAGAGGGAAAAGAGGGAGGGAAGAGGGAGGAGGGGGGGGGGAGAGAGGTGAGAATGGGGGAGAGAGAGGGGAGAGAACAGGGGAGAGAGAGAGGGGAATTGGGGAGGGGGGAGGGAGAGAGGAGGGGAGGAGAGGGAGGGAGAAGGAGAGGGGAGGGGTAGGGGAAGAAGAGGGAGGAGAGAAGAGGGAGAGAGAGGGGGGAAGAGGGAAGAGAGAGAGAGGGGGAAGAGAGGGAGATGGGAGAAGAGAGAAGGAGGGGGAAGAGAGCGGGGGGGAGAAGGGGGAGCAGGAAGAGAGGAAGAAGAGAGGAAGAGGGAGGGGAGAAGAGAGGGAGGGGGGGAGAGAGAGGGAGAAGGAGGGGAGAGAGGAAGGAGAGAGGAGGTGGAGAGAGGGGGGGGGGGGAAGGGGGAAGGGAGGGGGGGGGGTAGAGAGTTGGAAGAGAGAGGGGGGAGAGAAAGAGGCGGGGGAGGGGGAGAGAGAGAGAGGGGGGGAGGGAGGGGGGGGAGAGAGAGAGAGGGAGGAGAGGAGAGGGGAGAAGGGA